TTCAGGAAGTTATGTGCGCATCCAAACTTAAACCGCTAAAGTAAATAATAGAGGCTGGGAAATCCAAAACCAATTCAAATTGGATGGTGTCGATGAAATACGAGAATACTAAACCTAGACAAATCAGGTATTCCCCATTTTGTCCGTCTCTGAATATGTCATCAACTACTAGCGTAGAATATCAGATGGGATCTCCTGACGAACAGACTTATTAAGATGAGGTCAAATTACTTGGAAACAGACTAACTTCATGGCGTGCATTTTTGAAACTGGTTGCCCAGTTAACAATATGACTCATAGTACACTTAGAATAAAGAGGATTTCGACTTTTTAATAGATAAGTTGCGGGCCATTTTGAACAAAGTATGCGGCGTCACAATTAATTGAATGAAAAAATGGTATCCTTCGATGTACGTCTATTCCACAGTGCAATATTATTATTTTTTCGCAACACGGAAATGAGTGCATCTGTTGTAATACCTTACACGTGACAAGATTTTGTGTTAACCGTATGTGATTTCATGATTAGACTTATCTAGAGCTCCGTCCGTCACTCTCAAATGCAGAGGCTTATCGGTTCAGTTCATTGTATTTAAGAGGAATACAATTAAGTTAAAGAAATCCCTAGTCAACACAGAAAAACCGGAAAAATATGGCATAATGTAATGAAATTACAGCTTTAAGTATGTTCACACTTATATTCAGATAGTCCATTGGGCTCTTAGGGAACATAGCCCCATATATCACAGGCTGTTGCAGCATATGTGTGGCAAGCCGATGTTTAAATGTCATCATAGACCGAAATATTACAATCGCCTCGGGTAGGTTAGTAAACGGTTTCGCGATGCGGTTAGATAATAAGTTCTTCCTCCTGTCCAATCGTCTTTAGGGTACACGAAGGTGTAAGGGGTTATCCTGGAAATTAGTTGCAGTGGCGCGTTGAAATGAGTCATCGCACAGGACGGCGCAGTCCAAGCCGGGCTTCACCCGAAAATTGTGTGCCAACTCTCCGCTCAATGGCCTATACTTCAGAGGATGTACATCAAGGTTACTCAGATGAATCTCGTGTATTAGTGCACCCTGACCTCTTACTAATTC